CATGACTAATTCAAAGGAAAGAAAAGACCCATTTGATACATTCCTATTATAGGACAACCATCGGAACGATTGCATAGATTTATTCACCTTTAATTATTTTCTTATGAGAAGACATCCACATTTTCTTCTACTATCGTAATGATCTGGTAAACGACCTAAAACCCAGCTTATATTGTGCTGATGTCAAAGCATACAGAAACGATATTTAAAGCACACTTCAAAACCCTGAAAAATGATCTGAGAAATTAGAACAGGTGATAGAGAGGTATTACGGCATCTATTAAGGCATACCCTTTGAAAAATATCATCTTTAAAGTTCATAAAGCATCCTGGATTTTAGAGAAACTTACTGAAACCACAATAATAGAACATCCCAGGGGTCTGTAGTACTTAGGTGAAATGAAAAAAAAAAAAAAACTACAAAGCTTATTCTTCCCAGTCCCTAACTCAGCATGCTGCAACCTTTTGCTATCTAATGGGTCTCTTTACAACTCACATGGACACCTCACAGCTCAGAATATTGTTTGTAGTAGAATTTGTTTTATAAAGTCATTGCTTATGAATATGATGGAAGAGAAGAAGAATGGGGTTGGGTATTATATTTTTAGGCTTTTGAAAGCAGCACTGCTGTTTAGGGAAACCATGAGCTTTGTGGAGAACTTACTATTCTGCAATAAATAGAAATTTAATTGCTTTCATCTTCATTATATGGAATTTTATGTACAGCTAAAAACAATCCAAAATATGTAATGAAATTACACTAAATGTTTATTTGAAACACAGTTTTTTTTTTTTTTTTTTTTTGCCAGCTAATTTAAGTATCTTTTTTTTTTTTAATTGAAAGCGTCCTGGTAAGAATTAAAATAAAAATCAATTCCATTAGCTTCTTACACACACCAAAAAATACATTTAAAAGTTTGGAAAACAAAAAAGAGTGCAGTTCAGAGTCATGGTTAGTGGGTGAAACATATCCTATTGCAGAATGTTATTACTTAATAACTTCATGTCCTTGATTGTGATATAAATTGAGTTTGATGTCTGGCTGAAAACTGACAGCAACAGGATTTTGATAAAAATTCATCCATCCTTCTAGACGATGGAATTCATAACATACCTTTGTCCAAGTTGTGTAATGTTTATATGTGAAGTCTATTCATAAATCTAAGGTTTTAATTAGTTGCTGTTTTTATTGAGTAGATTTATATAAGCATAATTCTACTAAATTAGATACCACTATTTAAGAATAGTGGTGATATATTTTTTTCCACCCTGGAAAATACGTTTTAAATCATGTTAACCCATTATAAACATTTGGATAGTAATTTTTAGAGACCTCTCATAAATAATATTTTTAAAAGCAATAGGACTGGGCTGTGTTTGAACATAGGTAATAATTCATACCAATTATATTACTAAACGTAAAGCTGCCGACCCAATAATATATCATAATTCATACCTTATGGTCTGATGGCAATTAAAATACCATCATTAAATATTTTGCAAACACGCGTAACAGTTGGAATCTTGCTTCTATGGAATACTATCCAGTGCTTTATTATCCAGAACAGTACCCCTGTTTATTTTCTTGACAATGCATAATCATTAGAGAGTCATTCTGAGAGTGCCTTTAATCCTCACAAAGACCTGGACTTTATCTTATATTATTGTGAGTATTAACACTGTTACTCCAATTTTGAGTGTTCATGCTTTTTGAGCCTCTGCTGGTTTTCATTTTTTGTAAGTAGAGCAGGTATAATCAGACTCTTCAAGTAGTGATTAATATGTGCCTGCAAGCTCCTTACACAGTGGAGGTGCCACACAACTAAACATAAAAGGCCTCACTTAGTGATTTAGGAGATTACGGTTAAAGAATCTAACTAGAAGGGGTTTGACTTCTATCTTCTGAAGCTCAACAAACCTTGACTGAAGCAGAGGGATCTGTGGAGAGGTTAAATATTTAATGTTCATTCAGCTCATCATACCCTAGTAATTGACTGTGATGTTTATCTAACAACTATCTAGGCCCTAAGACTATGCCCGGGTTAGCAGAGTACAGAGTTCTGTAGTTTGGCTCCACATGGGGGCTTGGGAATCCCTGGCTTCATGTAATGTCTCCCTACAATAGTTCCAGATACATTTTAATAGGATATGGGGTCTGACAATTAAGTTTTCGAACTTACCACCACGTGCTTACATGGGCACACCGTACAAACAGTTTGGTAACGTTTCATAACCTTGGTATGTCAGTGTCTCACAGCTGTGTTCATGTCAATGTTTAGTGGTGTCTTGTTGAGTGGTGTTCATTATTGTTGCATGTTTTTTGTGTGCCATCGCAAAAATGATGGCGCTTGAATTAGAACAATAAGCAAACATTACATTTCTTGCTAAACTTGGCAAGAGTGGAAGTGAAATCAGGGACATGTTAGTCCAAGTTAATGGGGATAATGCCATGAAATCAGCAGTGTACAAATGGATTAAACATTTTTCTTAGGGTGGAGAAAGTGTCACTGTTGGAGAGAGGTAAAGACAGCCAGTAACAAGCAGAACTTATGAAAACATTGAATTGTGTGTCAAAATTGTCAACCGACTGTGAGAAGCATAGCAGACCAAATAAACATGAACAGAGAAACAGTAGGGAAAATCTTAACTGAAAATCTTGGCATGAGAAAGATGTGTGCAAAAATGGTCCCGAAGGAGCTTTTGAATCATGACAATGCACCAGCTCCCACAGCACTGTCTTTGAGGGAGTTTTTAGCCAGTAAACAAATAACTGTATTGAAATGCTCTCTCTACTCACTTGACCTGGTCCCCAGTGACTTTTTTATTTATCAGAAGATAAAGGAAACAATGAAAGACATTTTTATGACATTCAGGACATCAAGGGTAATATGACAACAGCTCTGATAGGCATTCCAGTTAAGAAGTTCAAAATGGCTTTGATGGGTGGACAAGGCACTGGCGTTAGTGCATAGCTTCCCAAGGGGAGTACTTTGAAGGTGACTGTGGTGATATTCAGCAATGAGGTATGCAGCACTTTTTCTAGGATGAATTGGTGAACTTAATTATCAGACCATGTATGTTGGCAGTTTCTGCATATCAAGTTAAAATGGCAGGGTCGCTGGAATTATAAGTTTAAGTGTTTATATTCTGATGGACTAAAGCTCTGTACTTCAATTCCAGTGTCAGCACAAAGGTGACAGTATTTACCTTGTAGGTATATGCCAGTGCTGGGGACTAAACTGTATCCTCCAAGACTTCATATGTTGAAACCCTAATCCCTAGTACGATGGAATTCGGAGGTAGGGTCTTCAAACGGTGATTAGGTCATGAGAGTGGAGCCTTCATGATGGGACTGGTACCTTTATAAGAGGGAACACAGGGAGCTTCCTCTCCCTCTCCTCTGCACCATGTGAGGATATGACAAGAAAGTGGCCATCTGCAAATCAGAAAGTGGGCCCTCATCAGATCAGACACTGGATATGCAGAAACTCTGATCTTGGAATAACTTCACAGTCTTCAAAGCTGTGAGAATGAATGTTTGTGGTTGAAGCCACCCTGCCTATGGGAATTTGTCACAGCCACCCAAACTAAAATAGCCAGCTTTAGGAATAATACGTGCCAAGCATCCAGGACCGTCACCACACTGCTTGGTGTACATCTGGAATAAGTTCTCACCAGGTGTAAGACTTGAACAGTTTATTTTTCACCCTGATCTAGATCACCAAGCAATCCTCCCACCTTGGCCTCCCAAAGAGCTGGGAGGATTGCACTGTGGGGAGGATAAATGCAATTTGAAGTTTTAACTCAACCACAATCGTTGAGTACCTACAGTGTGCAAGGCCCAGAAGATCACGTGTCAAAAGAAAGTTGGCCTCTTCTGTTGCCTCTGAGTGGGGCTTGGAAGTTAGAAGAGGGAGAGACAGGCGAGCAGTAGCCTGGGGTGGGATTTAGCCAGAGTCAGGAAGCATGCTTCCTTGTGATTGCTGAGTGGCCGCAATAACGTTATGGTAACCATGCATAAACCATGTGTTTTTATTTTTGGTGTTCTGATGCTGTGACATCTGGGGCCCTGCTGACCCTGGAGTGACTTCCCTTCCCGGATCGAGCCGATTTGCTAGAGATAGTAAACGACTCACCCTGGTCATGCTTTTCAAATACAAACCAACCAATCCAGAGCCCACACCCCCCAACTGTCTCCTTCATTCCAGGCCCTGATCCTCCTACCTTTATCCCCTTAGGTCCAGCTACCAAACAAGCAGGGACAGCTTCCACTCCCCAGACCTCACTGACAAGATCCAAAGCTCTGCCTGTTCCTTCCTTGGGAAAACTACAATAATGGCTTCCACCCAATGGCACCCTTACTCCCTCTGTTTCCTGACCGACCCTGGTTCTTCCCCGCTGGCCCTCTTACAGCATGATGTGTACACTTCTTTGGGGATTTTTTTTTAGCACAACAAACTCTCTTTTCCAAGGAAGCCACCTCCCCACTTGTTGGTCTCACCTTCCCTGAATAATCACGTAGCCTAGGTCAAGTGAGACAGCTCATGACTGCAATCCCAGCTGTTTGGGAGGCCAAGATGGGAGGATCACTTGAGCCCAGGAGTCTGAGACCAGCTTGGGCAACATAGTGTGACCTCATCTCTACAAAAAAAAAAAATTGGCCAGGCACGGTGGTGCATGCCTGTAGTTCCAGTTACTCGGGAGGCTGAGGTAGAAGGATCACCTGCGCCCAGGAGGTTGAGGTTGCAATGAGCCCAGATCAAGTCACTGCACTTGCACTCCATCCTGGAGGATAGAGCCAGACCCTGACTCAAAAATAAGACAAGAAAAGAAAAACTAGTTATAAAGCCTATATTTTAAAACAAACCTCTGGTGCCTGAAGTTTGCAAGAAACTATGAAGAGCACATTAGGGGAGACCGGACAAATCCATTTCATTGCCCCTACTTAGCTGATCAGGAAACACAGGTGTTCAAGGGAGACAATAATAACAACCACCAAATAAAGCAGAGGAAGCACATCGTTGTACCCTTTTATTGGCACAGTCACGTTTCAAAGGCCGGTATGAATAAAAAGTTCCAAGTAGCAAGACAGGGTGGTGTGGAGCCACACAGCTCAGAACTTCCTGCCAGCCCACGGAAGCACATCGACACACAAGGCCTTGCATTACAGGAGGGCGGAGGGTGTACAATGAGTCATGCAGTGTCACTCAAGGGGAGGACCGTCTTGTGACGCAGCCCCCACTGCTCGAACCGGTAAATCTCGGTGCACTTAATAATATGGACTGTTTGGACCTTTGAACGAATGTGACCATTTTACAAGACCAGCTATGAATTGGAAGCCACGTGTGTTTAACCGATCACCGCATAATTTCCTGCGATCTTTGCTGAGGTCGGGAGGTGAAATTGTTAACTACGGGGTGTACAATCCACTTATCCAGAAGCACAGAGCACAGGGAAGAACCGCCTGCCTGTCGATGAGGAACATCTAAAACACGGGACTCGATCCATACTTCTGCAAGGGGTGACACTGGCACAGCTAAAACAGTAACATAGCCTGCAGATTTTTAGGTACTTTAGGTTTTAAAAAAAAAAAGAGGAAAAGTTGTGCAGAAGGGAAAAAAAATCTAAAAATGATTTTTAAAAATCTGTATTTTGAAGAACGGGAGCACCACCGATTGCATAAAGTTATAAAATACAGTCATAAACAGGTGAATAATTATTGTAATTCCCATGAAACACAAAACACCTACAAAGAAACAAAATATATGTCCTGTATAGTGTATTATAATAAAACCATCGGAAGGACAAGAAACAGACTCTCAAGCTCTCTAAAAACAACTGTACAGAGTGGGCATGGACGGCTCTTCTCCTCACGTCACCCCCTCTCTCATTCCCTCCCCACTTTTCCCAGCATCACTGTTGCCACCTAAGGGTAGCACAGTGCTGTCGACAAGGAACGTGAAGGTCAGAGCAAATCACCACAACATGGATAAGAAAGAACAAACACACACACGCTTTTGTACACACACACACACACACACACACACACGAGATCTCGTCTATTTAGCGTCAGTGTCCTGTGCTTTTTTTGTATCCATGCGTGGGGAGGGAGGTCCCAGCACGTGTCAGAAGGCAGCCTTCTGTGGACGCAGCCTGCCATCCTAGGCAGTTTTTTCCTGTGAGCGAGTCCGCAGTCGAGGCCACATCAAATGGTGCTGTCCCAGAGCTCGGAAGGCAGCCGGCTGCAGGAGGCTCCCTCGGGCTTCTTCAAAAGAGTGGGCTTCTTGCAAGGTGGTGGCGGGGGTGGCCTGGGCTCTGAGCGATGCAGGATTTGCTGCCAATCTTCTCTTTCTTCACAGAGCTTCCGCCTCCAGTCCAGAAGCTCCTGCAGGGCCACGCTTTCATTCTCTGAGAGCCGCAGCTGGTGTATGACCTGTGGGAGGAAAAGGGAAAAGAAAGTGGCACTAAAGAAGAGGGCGACCCAAAAAAACCCCAGAATTATCTCTTGGTGGACTGACCCCTGGTAGGACAGGCTCCACCTGCTACGTGAGTATTCTAGGAACCCATCAGCATTCATGGACCAGCTAGGATTGTTGTGAGTAACTGCGTTTGGCTTCAGTGAATTCTTTGGGGAGATTCTCTCAACGCTTCTGCCCATTTTCCTGATGGGTGATTTATGAGTGCACCTGACCACACTGCACTGGGTGTTCAGAAGTTGTTCACTAACAATGGCATGGCCTTTGTGTCCTACCCTTCCCTTTCCCCTGATCTCACCCTGAGCAACTTTTAATTTGTTCCCCCAGATGAAAAATGCCCTTAAAGGGAAATGTTTTGCCAACATGGAAGAGGTGATACAAACAACGGCAGAAGCACAGAAAGGCATCCAAATGGATGAGTTCGAAAACCAGAGAGACGTCTGGATTGGTGGATTGCATCCAATGGAAAGGACTTTGAAGGTGACTGACATTTAAACATGAAAGAATAAATATACAATTTTTAATCAATATGTTCTTTTGTTTTGGGGGGTTCCTCCTCACGGGGTGAGAGAGCATCCAAGTGTGATTGCGACAAAGGGCCTTGGTTGGGCTGGGTGGAAAGAAGCAGCATTTGAAACAAGGCCTCCAGAGACTGTTGCCTCTGGAGATGGCATTGGAGCAGGTCAGCTGCAAACTGCTGAATTAAGATGAAGACTGGACAAAACCCTGGGAAACAAGAAGAGTGGTTAGCATGCGCTAAACCTTCAGACGATGCAAGAGAGAATCAAACGTCTGTCTGACCTTCACCCTCTATTATTGCATACATTCTTGTGGTACCTTGTGCTTATCCTTCATTTATTATCTGCCTATAGTGGATGTTCTCCTGTGAACAGAGCTTTCTCAAGCTCCCCTCCATTCCTGGAGCCATTCCTCTATCTGTCCACATAATTAATTAATAGTCAAACATGATTGTCAGGGTCCTATGACCCCACTGCCGACCTCAAGGCCTGAACTCCAGGATGGATCCCTACTCGTGAGGGTCCATGCATAGACAATGTAATACCAACTCACACCACACTCAGAGAGAAAATGCATCTTCGTGTTAGGTGTTGCAAAAGGTCGCCGCTAGAAATGCTAAAATAGCAAACTAGCTAGGCAGGCTAGCTGTGCTTGAGAATATCTGCAACCTCTCTGGGAAATGTGGCAGCATGCTCTCTCTATGTGAGGACACGAGGCAAAGCAATGAGCTAAGCTAAGCTAACAACTGTGCGCTTTCTCAGACCTGGAGCCCTCAACAGTGAGGGCTTTATGGGCCTTTGCAGAAGAGCATCACACATGTCCTCGTATTGGCAGCTTCCTCTTGCATCACCACAGTACTTGAAGAGTGACACCCTGAAGACTAAGCTTACACCCTTGACTTCAGGCAGGGCACACCAGGACAAGTGAGTTATGTGGCTGTGGTCACCCCTTTTCTGCCAACAGGCAGAAATCTATAACTGGACATTGCAGACAATCAATCTTTCTGGCAATTCTAAGTAAGTATGCTGGTTTTAAAAAATGAGATTCTGGGCCAGATGCAGTGACTCATGTCTGTAATCCCAGCACTTTGGGAGGCCAAGGCAGGAGGACCGCTTGAGACCAAGAGTTTGAAACTAGTGTCGGTGACAAGCAAGGCCTAATCTCCACTTAAACAAACAAAAAAGAAAGAAAGAAACAAAATGATATTTTGGAAATCAGACTGAGAATACGGGTGAGAATTCAGAATAAATAAGATGGTGTAAGTCATCTCCAAAACACCAAGTACTGTGTTCCAGTATCACTTCTGTCTCATCATAACCCTCTCTGTTAAAAGAAAAGAAAACAAAGCAGAGCACAAGTGGCTGTGGCTTTCATGCAGACAACAGTGACTTGGAAGCAGCCAGGGTAGTTAGTGTTCCAGGCCCAATTCAAAAACCAACAACTAAACCTGTTTACCAGAGGAGAGGGTTTCAAAGGCTGGGGTCAAGGAGATGGTGTTGATGGCACGAAGGTCAAAGCCATATTCAGAGTCCATAACTAGAGTTCTGAAGCTGATTATTAGCAAAAGGAGTCTCAAGAATTGAATTCACAGGCATCCAGAAGGAAGAAAAGCCTAGGTGTGGAAAGGGGAGTTGTGGTTGCTCAAGCCCTACTGCTATCATGATACATCAATGGAGAAAGCTAGAGCCGGGGCCCTAAAGTGGTTATTTTTTGCTAGTCTCCAACACTGCCCCAGAATGACCTAGAAGTGACAAATTCTGCCATGCAGATGCTTGTAGAAGCCTGGTTGCTTCTACTGCCAGTGGAGCGGGCCAAGAAAGTAGGGTGACAGGGGTGTGTGTGAAATTTGGTTATTTATGAGCACTCTGGAGTGTTACATGTGTGCCAGGTATTTTCGTAAGCATGTCACATTGACTCATCTGCTCTTGAGATCCCATGAAGTAGGTGCTGTTATTTTGCAGATGAGGAAACTAAGGCACAGAGCAGTCGGGAAGTTTGCCCAAGGCAGCATAGAAAATGGTAGAACCTGGCAGGTGGGCCCCAGAATCGATGCTCTTAACTGTTACTCCACACTGCTTGTCATTGACCCAACAATTGTTTCCAGGTTTTGATACAGGCTAAGGATTAGAGTCTCTTCCACCATGTGCCTCTTTCCTCCTTTTTCTAAATGAGATAAATAGCCATAGCGCTGTGTTTCTGCAGGAGTGTGTGCTAGCTTCTCTCTTGTCCTTCACTAGTGTGTGCTGTGGTGATTACAGTTCTCTTCAGTCTCATTTACTCTGGATGTAGAATATTCCGATCTGTATTCCTTGGTCCAGTAGTGATCTGTGAAAAATAACCTCAAGGGATTTATTCTAGGAAAGAACCTATATCTGATAGAAGAATATCTCTACCATCTCAACTGATTATCTTCGCAAAACTTCCTTGAGATACCATCTTTCCAACTTCATTTATTTAGAAAACAAACTTAAGGTAATCGGTCATGGAAGGTTACTGTTCTCATTGTACAAATTTTTTTAAAAAGAGTATGCATTACAAAAAACTGTATTTTTAAAACATCAGATAGTCCTGCCAAATGGAAGAAAATTCCACATCAAGTGAAGTGTTCTGAGGTAGACTGAGAATTACTAGCTTATATTTTCCCTCTGAGGACATTTGCCAATTCTGAGATTTTCAGCAGACCTAGAGAGTCTTTTCTGGAAGAAAGAGAAAGCAGATGATATTTTGCAGTCGCACGAGACTAGAGAAACAAACTGGAAATGTGAAGACCCTCAAATGCACAGCTATTTTCCACAAGGGACATTAGTTGAGCTCTTCAGCTGTTTGGGCAATTGGTGCCTTAGGCCAAAGCTTGGAAAAAGCCAGATGAAATCTCCTACCATGATCAATGTGCTTCAGAAGCAAAACCCTGACAAGGGAGATGACAGCTTCAAGCCCATGGCCAGTTCCATCTTCAAAACACTTGCTAGATTTTGAAACTGTCGAGGGCAGAAGGCTGGAGAGGGGACTGGGAGCTCTGAGCTGCAGGGCTAGATCCGCTCTCATCTTCCAGTGCTAAAGAACACAGACCTCTCCATCCAAAGCCCAGAAGGACCAAGCCTGAGGCTAAGATAAGAGCCATGGCTAGACTGGTTCTCCAGCGCAGCTCAGAGAGAAGCAACTGTAAGAGTGAAAGCTGACATCTTAATAGAAACATTGGAAGTCAGAAATCAAGCAGGTTAAATTATTAAAAAAAAAAAGTCAACCCAGACTTCTGCACCCAATAAAAATAGCTCTCAAAAATGAAAAAGAAATAAAGATATATTTGGACAAACAAAAAGGAGAAAATTTGTTATCAGAAATCTCACATTACTAGAAAGATAACAGCAAGTGTTTTTGTTGTTGTTTGTTTTTTAAGGTGAAGGAAAATGATCCCAGGTGGAAAAATGGAAATTCAAGAGGTAATTAAGAACACTGGAATTAGTAAACCCATAGGTAAACATAAGTTATATGCTTGAAATGTCTCACTGACTTTAAATTATATGAACACAAATGTATGCCAACAATAATCGCAAAACCCAGGAGAGATTAAGTAGAGTTTAGGGGTCTTAAGGGTCCAGCAATATTAGAAAAATAGTAAAAGTTATCAAACCTGTTAGGATGCAGTGAATCAAGGATGCATGTTTTATCCTCTAGTGAAACAATGAAGAGAATAATGAGAATAAATGAGAATAAAAGAATAATGAGAACAAAAAAGTTAACATGAAAGTGAAATAATAAACATGCAATTAGTTTAAAAGAAAGGTAGAAAAAAGGATATAGAGACCGATCCCTAACAATTAAACATAAAAACTAGACAAACAAACAGAATCTGAATCTCCCCTCAGCTGCTGATATTATTTTTCCATGACTTTATGACATATGCTATATTTCTCTTGATACTAGCAGGTCTGATGGAATACAGTTGTGTCCTTACACCAAGCGCAAGATACACCCACTCTGTATTTCTTCTAAATCCTAAACTTTTTCAGCAGTGTTTCATGACACCCAAAAATATACTAGGTGTGACCCTCTGCTAAACCTTCATAATAGGAACAGACTTAAAAAGACTGAGTCACTCCATGGAAGCCGAGTCAGTGCCAATCTGCTGAGAGTGACTTTCAGCCGCTGCTGATCTGAATTAGGCTTGTCGGAGGGATTTTGAAAGAAAAAAAAAGCCCAAATCCCCTGAGTCATTGCTTCTCTTTTTGGAAAAGAAAAAAAAAAATGCTCCCTTCCCTTTTCAAAGCTTCTCGATGTTTACTAAAAATATCTGAATTCCCAAGCACATCATAAAAGGTGAAATTTATGTACACAAACCGCTTGAAAGCCCTTTCTTAATGAGGATATTGATGTCTTGAATAATGTAGTGAGTTCAGAAGAATGCCATATTTGAATCAACAAACAAGAGCCTTTCATG